GCCTTAGACAATAATTATCCAAAACTCTGAACTTTTACCTTGTTGATAGTTATCAGTCATGGTAAGCAATATATTATTAATTTATAACTTGAGGCATGCCACATAGGGGGAACCAGAGATCATATTGCCAACACCCATTGGATCATTGAAAAAGCAAGAGAATTCCAGAAAAACATCTACTTCTGCTCTATTGATTACACCAAAGCCTTTGACTGTGTAGATCACAACAAACTCTGTAAAATTCTTCAAGAGATGGAAATACCAGACCACCTGACCTGCCTCCTGAGAAATCTGTATGCAGGTCAAGAAGTAACAGTTAGAACTGAAGACTGGAACAAAAGACTGGTTCCAAATTGGGAAAGAAGTACGTCAAGGCTGTATATTGTCACTCTGTTATTTAACTTATATGCAGAGTACACCATGCGAAATGCTGGGCTGGATGAAACACAAGCTGGAATCAAGATTGCCAGGAGAAATATCAGTAACCTCAGATATGGAGATGACACCACCCTTATGGCAGAAAGCAAAGAAGAACTAAAGAGCCTATTGATGAAAGTGAAAGAGGAGAGTGAAAAAGCTGGCTTAAAACTCAACATTCAAAAACTAAGATCATGGCATCCAGTCCCATAACTTCATGGCAAATAGATGGGGAAACAATGGAAACAGTGAGACACTTTATTTTTTGGGGCTCCAAAATCACTGCAGTCAGATGGTGACTGCAGCCATGAAATTAGACACTTGTTCCTTGGAAGAAAAGCTATGACAAGCCTAGACAGCATATTAAAAAGCAGAGACATTACTTTGCCAACAATGGTCTGTCTAGTCAAACCTATGGTTTTTCCAAAAATCGTATATGGATGTGAAGTTGGACCATAAAGAAAGCTGAGCGCTGAAGAATTGATGCTTTTGAACTGTGGTGTTGGAGAAGACTCTTGAGAGTCCCTCAGACTGCAAGGAGATCCAACCAGTCCATCCTAAAGGAAATCAGTCCTGAATATTCATTGCAAGTACTGATGCTGAAGCTGAAGCTCCAACACTTTGGCCACCTGATGCGAAGAACTGACTCATTTGAAAAGACCCTGATGCTGGGAAAGACTGAGGGCAGGAGGAGAAGGGGATGACAGAGGATGAAATGGTTGGATGGCATCACCGACTCAATGGACATGAGTTTGAGCAAGCTCCAGGAGATGGTAAAGGACAGGGAGGCCTGGCGTGCTGCAGTCCATGGGGTCGCAAAGAGTCTGACACGCCTGAGCGACTGAATTGACTGACATAATAGGGGAGCGTTCTTAATCTTATCATATGATGACTTTATATTATTATTTCTAATGACCTTGTATAATTTTTTATTAATCCTTAAAATATGAATAAAATAAACTGCAATATTTAAATTACATCCAAATTTATATGATGATACCAAAATTAATGTCAGCATTTTGCACAGTTTTGAGGTCATTGTGTGCCCGTTACAAAGATTTCTGGTTGGAGGAATGCTGGATATATCTGTTCTTTTGCTGTACTTGATTGAGCTTTCAGTAAATATAGGACAAACATGTGAACTCTTCCCTTCTTTCCTTCTAAAGCAGCGTTAACTCAGCTCTATGGAACAGTATAGAATAAGGTCATTATTAAACACATTAATTCATGCCACAGTCTGTTATGACTTCATTGGTTTTGTCAGGGTCATCAGTGATCTCCAGGTTCCTAAAGTCTGTGATTGATTTTCAGTGTTCTTCTGTGTCCTTTAGCAGCCTTTATCACAGGCAGTCACTGTTCTCTTGGAAAGTGTCTCCCGCCACCCAGGACAGCACAGTCTCCTGATTTCCCTCTGCTTGCCTGGTCTCTTCGCCTCAGTCTCCTTGCTTGTCTTTGCCCTCCCTGACCGCGCCAAGGGGCGCCACAGGGCTTACTTCACTGCTGTCTTCTCTAGAGATGCTCAATCCCTTGGCATGTTTTTTTTTTTTACTTGCTTTAAGTACCATTTATGACTCTCAAATTTATATTTCTCACTCAGAACTCTTCTCCAAATTCCAGACTCCTATAACAAACAGCGACTGTATATCTCCACTTAGGTGTCTAATGGACATTGCAAATGCAACATGCCCAGCACTGAACCCCAATATTTCCCCATCTCACTTAGTGCCAGCTCTGTTCTTTTTGTTGCTCAGCTGATTCCTCTTTTTCTTCCTAACAGATTGACTGAGGATGTGAAAGAAAAAGAGGAGGGCTGTTAGTCCTACTTTCAAAATATATTCAGATTCTGACCGCTTCTCACTGCCTCCATTCCCAATACCCTAGACCAAGGCATCATCCTCTCTTACCTGGATTATCACCATAGCATCTCAGCTGGTGTCCCCATTTCCATTCTTGCCGCCTTATGGTCTTTTCCCAACACAGATTATACAGTAATCATTTCATAGTAGAAGTCCAATGATGTCACACATCTGTTAAAATCCTTCAGTTCTGCACTCCAGTCAGATAAACATCCAGCGTCCTGCCATCTGCACACACGGCCCTAACACCGTCCGGCCCCCTTGCTCCTTTTCTGGCCTCATCTCCTCCTAGTGTCCCTCTCGGACCTTAGAGAGCTCCTTCCATTCTCGAGACACGCTGGGCAGAGTCCACCTCAGGGTCGTGCTCTGACTGTCTCTTTGTCCGGAACTCTTTACATACCTGTCCCCTTGTGTGCAGGGCTCCCGGTTATGGTTCTCACTGAGAGTCATTCATGGGGCTCCTCCTAGGGTTGTGCATCGTCAATCTGCCCAACTCCATGCTGTAACTCTGCCTACTTCTTCTTCTTCTTTTATATATTTAGTCATTTGGCTGCACCTGGTCCTGGTTGTGGCCTGCGGGATCTTTGGTTGCAGTACGTGGGATCTAGTTCCCTGACCAGGGATCTCTACATTGGGAACACGGAATCTCAGCCACTGGACAACCAGCAATACCCCAACTCTGCCCACTTTAAATCTTTGCATAAATGTCACTTCTGTGTGAGGCCAGCCCCAAGCATGAAGTTAAATCTGAAGTCGTGCTGGCTCTTCTGACCTCACCCCCTCCTGCACTGCACCTGCTGCTTTCTGATTCACTGCCTCATTGACTTACTCGCTGTTGTGATAGTCTTCTTCCCCTCATAGAATGTAAATTTCAAGAAGGCAGAGGCTTTTGGTCATTTTATTTACTTTCTACATTAAATGCAGTGCCTGGCACATAGGTAGGCACTCAACAAATGTTTATTGAAGAATAATTTAAGATACCTTGAATTTTAAAGTGTATTTGAAATAGAAGAAAAGGAAGATTAAACCAATACTTTTTTGAATTAATTTATCAGATATATTTATAAGGATGTTAAAACTTCAATTTTATTAGGTTCTGTCTTTCAGCTGAGTATATACATATGTGCTTTATGCCACAGAATTGATAGCTTACACTTAGGAAACGTATTAACTTACTATGAAGCAGAGAGTTTCAAGTGGTGACATCTCTCAGCAGCTATGTTTGATAAAGCCTTTCCAAGTCTAATTAGCATCCGTGAGTCTTTAAGTAGCAATTTAAAAATCCCTGCCTGTTATTTATTGATTAATAATAATAGCATAGCTTGCTTTATTGTTATTTATAGTATACTGTGGTAAAAATGAGGTTATTCAAATGCAGATATTGGTTAAGTCATTATTATTTTGAGGGAATTAAGCCATGACAGTTTTTTTTTTTTTTTAAGTGGCTAAGTAGTGAGCTTTTTCATGCTGTTCATGGGGTTCTCAAGGCAAAAATACTGAAGTGGTTTGCCATTCCCTTTTCCAGTGGACCACATTTTGTCTTGGGCTCCAAAATTACAGATGGAGATTGTCCACAGTTGTCCAGTGGCTGCAGATGGTGACTGCAGCCATGAAAGATGCTTGCTCCTGGGAAGAAAAGCTATGACCAACCTAGATAGCATACTAAAAAGCAGAGACATTACTTTGCCAACAAAGGTCTGTCTAATCAAAGCTATGGACCAAAAGAAAGCTGAGCGCTGAAGAATTGATGCTTTTGAACTGTGGTGTTGGAGAAGACTTGAGAGTCCCTTGGACTGCAAGGAGGTCCAACCAGTCCATCCTAAAGGAAATCAGTCCTGAATATTCATTGGAAGGACTGACACTGAAGCTGAAACTCCAATATTTTGGCCACCTGATGAAAAACTCACTCATTTGAAAAGACCCTGATGCTGGGAAAGATTGAGGGCAGGAGGAGAAGGGGATGACAGAGGATGAGATGGTTGGATGGCATCACTGACTCGATGACATGAGTTTGAGTAAACTCCTGGAGTTGATGATGGACAGGGAGGCCTGGCGTGCTGCAGTCCATGGGGTCACAAAGAGCCAGACAAGACTGAGCGACTGAACTGAACTGAAGTAGTGAGCTAGGAGAAGTGACATGTTTATATTTTTATCATGACTTGGTACCCTTCCTGTAAAATGATGACATGGCCAGTGTTTACATGTGAACAAAAGGAGTAAGGGGTTTTCTTTGTTGTCATTTTGTCTGAGTTTTTGGCCTTGATGTGCAGCACACAGGATCTTAGGTCCCTGAACAGGGATTGAACCCTGGGGCTTCCTAGGTGGGGCAGTGGTAAAGAACCCGCCTGCCATGCAGGAGGCACGGGAGATGCAGGTGGATAGATCCCTGAATTGGGAAGATCCCCTGGAGAAGGAAATGGCAACCCAGGCAAGTATTCTTGGCTGGGCTAATCCCACGGACAGAGGAGCCCGGCGGGCTACAGTCCGTGGGGTTGCCAAGAGTCGGACACGACTGAGCAACTAAGCCGGCACACGCCCTTGCCTTGTAAGTTGGAGTCTTAACCGCTGGACTGCCAGGAAAGTCCAAGACTTTTTTTTTCTTAATGATAGGAAAGTGTTTATCAGAGGATTTAAAGCAATACTATTAATAATATAACAGTTCTTACTAATATTTCATACACACTCAAGGGCTCCCCTGAAATGACCTGGAAGAAGGAGCTCGGTTACCTTCTTCACGGTTATGATGCCCACTTGGAAGTTGGGATCCGTGTTGATGTCGAATGCGTCTGCCCCGTCCCCATCCACGATCGTGTACTTCATCTCCGCGTTGATTCCTTCATCCAAGTCCTTGGCAAACACCCTCCCCACAGTCGAGCTAACTGGAGCTGATTCCAACACACTCATCTGGTAGTGTTCTGTGAAGAAGTCAGAACATGCAGTTTTTGTAATCTGTCACTACACAAAAAACACCTCCTCTGTATCACATCACATCTGCCACGCTGTGCAAAACATCGTTTTCATCATCCAAAGTTAAAACTTGAGTTTTACCAATGAAAAGACTGAGATCCAAAGGACTAAGGAGACGTTACTGGGTCATAGCCTGCACTGGATGTCAGATGAGGAGGGGCCAAAATACGTCGATCATAATCCTAGGAGTAGGACAGGACAAAAGCAAAAATATTGCTTACCTCAGTGCATGCGCCTCCAGGGTGGTAGGCGGTACCTTGCTCTCCAGTCTTTCAGTTCCCCAGTGTTAATGCTGTTGTGGTCACAAAGTGCACGTTTATTCTGTTTGAGTTTCAGACGCACACATTTCCCTGTGGCCGGGCCAGCACGCTGAGCACCTGTCTGTGGCCAGCTGCCCACGTTCGGAGCTGACCAGCGCCTGCAGAACAGGCCCGGCCCCAGAGCCCGGCTCTGCCGGCTCCCGCGCTGTCCGTCCATCAGGGGGTCTGCCCTGGGGCTTGCGCCCCGGCGGCTTCTTCAGGGACACATCTCGATGCTCTTCGCTCTCTTTTCTGGAAGAGAACACCCTCAGAAGTCTCACCTGTGTGGGAAGCTCGGAGCTTTTTCTACTAGACACCCTGAACCCACTTGTTCAGTTCATGTCCCTCCGCGGAGCAGCGTCCTGGTTAACTCGCCTCCTCTCGGGCTCAGCTCTGTGCTGCTCCTCACTCTTCTGTCGGTCAGTGTGGATGACTAAAGACGTAATCAAACAGCCACATTTTCGACACGTCCGCGGTGCCTCTGGCTCCCCTATGCATCGCAGGCTGCGGGCTGTGACCCTGGGAAGTCGGGGGTGAGGGCTGCCTTCTCACAATGACCTGGGGGTGACGGCACCCAGCCAGCGCTCAGCAGCCTCCCCCGCGCGGGAGGAGAAACGGTGCCTGTTCTTTGCCGACGTGAGCCGGGAAATGGCTAATGTCTGCGCTAAACTGCAGGCGCTCGGATTTCACGATCTCTTTGCATTCTCTTCCAAAGTTGTTGATGGAGCAGACTTTGCTACTGCAGAACATGTTTGGGAATAACAATTTTCTCCAGGAAAATTAGGTGTTCTGTGTCAAAACAAACATCTTGTCCATACAATTTCTATACATAGTGCATTATATTAGAAATAAATAGCCTGAGGTCTTGATATTCCATTATATTTGGTTAAATTAAAGGTAACTGAGTTTTTTCAGTATAAAATAGAAGGTGTGTCACTGTGTCAACATCCCTAATTGGTTATGATAATATTTGTGAAAAAGAAGGAAAGCAGGATTCAATATAACTTTCCTACAATAGGTCCAAATCTATATGAACTGTGTAATATCTTCGCTCTTCTTCTCTTTCTGCCTTCTCAGAGATAGTGTCCAGTGTCAGATTACAAAGCCAGGGGATAGTTCAGGGATGTTCAGGAATCTGTAGTCTACTGTGCACAGTGTGAGCCATGAAATAGTAAAGATGGGTCAGCAGAAGGGTCACTTAAGAAGCCAATCCATATGGCCTTTCACAAACTGTTTCATGATGCTCTAGTCTCTGAACTGTAGAACCGATCAGCTTAATAATCTCCTCGTTCATATCACTTGTAAAATACTCATCTGGTATCTTGTCTTTTGGTTTCACAAAATCTCATGGGGACTTTATGGATATCAGTTGTATGCAAATATTTGAATTTTATTCCCGTATTTACACAGATAAAGTAAATGGTTTACCCACAATGCAGCTTTTCAGCAGATGGTCTGGTTTGGCCCTGTTTTAGTTTAGCTGTTGTTGATCCTGATTTCCCTGGTTGAGTCTTTCACCCAGAACTGAGTCTGCCGCTCTCACTTCTCCAGTTGCTCCCTTTTAGAATCTGCTTCTCAAATTCACATCTTCATTCCCAGTCTCCATCCCATAGTCATAGCTCTATATTCCATCTTCCTTAATTCAGCCTGATTGTCCTGCTGTCACTTCATATTCAAGGCAGAATTTGTCTTCCTCTTTGCCTGCCACTAGTTCCGCTAGGTATTCTCTGTTTCTCCCATTAGGAAAATCTTTTTCCCTGTTGTCCAGACCTAGAACATCATTTTATCTTTGACTCTACCTCCCCTTAGCCAAGAAATCAGAGGTAGAAATCCAGGTTTTCTTATTTGTCCCATTCCACTTCTTCCGCTATTTCCTTACGTTCTTATCAGTTCAAATCTGGACCATTCTAAAAGCCTCCTACCAGACTCTCCTGTTTCTAGTGTCCGTTCCTGCCAGGCAGTGCTCTGCGCGGCTACCAAAGTAGCCTTTCTTTATGTCTCTCACTTGCTCAAAAACTTTGCAGTGACTTCCATTAGACATGGAACATTTGAATCAATAAAAGATCAGGTCTTCATTTTCGGGATCTTTGAACATAAAATTACATTTGCAGCTTTATTTCTAGGGCTTTATATCCCATACTAGAATGTTGCTCAAAACAAAATTTTTTAAATTGAATGAACAGCTTCTCCCTTCAGGAATGTTTTCTTTTTTTCCTGTTTGACTCTGTTATATTCTTCAACACCTGGTTGAACTCTCATCCTTTTATTAAGCCTTCACTAATCTTGGTGTATTGTGAAGGCGTCATTCTGCACTAACCAGGTGGCACAGCGCATGCTGCTCCCCACTTAGATCTGGATGAATGCCAGTGTGTGTGCTCCCAAGTGGGATTCCAGCTTCACAAGCGCAGGGACTTCGCTTCAAGAATCTCGTGCCCTTCATGCCCAGGGCCCGTACAAAGCAAGCACTCAGTGCCTGCTGTGAATCGAGGGGTCACTGTGTTCACCTCCAGCTTTGGCTTACTCTCCCTGCATGCACTCTCAAAATATTGATTCTTGTTGGAGAGAGGTGAAAAAAATCTTAGATATTACAGTGGTTTGTGGCTCTATAAAGTTCATCCCTACCCAACCTGCTTAATATTTAATTGCATGAGGGCAGCGGTCAGGGCATGGCACTCAAGGAAAAAAGGGTCTAAAACGGCTCCGGAGGGAGGTGATGGTGACAAGCAGAGAAACACTGGTTTAGTGCTCTGAGAAGCTGGATTTAGGAGGGAAATGGTGATGTGAGAACTGCATGATAAATGTCAGAGAGGAACCCGGGAATAACTGAACTCAAAGAGGGACTCAGACCGGCCTCTCTCTCACCTCCGTCACAACACTCTCGCCGGTTGGGTACTCACTCTGGGGGAAGCGGGGTGGGTTATCGTTGACATCCGAGAGGGTGATGTTGACAGTCGTGGTCCCCGCTAGTCCTCCGAGCTGCCCCCCCATGTCCTTGGCTTGGACGATCACCTCGTAGTTCTCTTTGGCTTCTCGGTCCATGTTCATGAGTGCGGTCCTAATTACCCCTGCAGGATAGAAACCATCTTTGTTTGTAGAAGCAGAACCATCAGTTCCATTTTAAAGACTGGATTCTAGGCTTCTCCCTGTGCCTTGTCAGAGATGCAAGGCACCTGTTTTATTATAGTTGAGGTCAGAATGTCGTTTCAGCTCAGTCGTGTCCAGCTTTCTGTGACCCCATAGTCTGTACCCCGCCAGTTTCCTGTGTCCATGGGATTTCCCAGGCAAGGATACTGGCGCGGGTTGCCATTTCCCTCTCCAAGGGATCTTCCCGACCCAGGGATCGAGCCCACACCTCCTGCATTGCAGGCAGATTCTTTACCACGGAGCCTTCAGGGAATCCCCAACTTTTTTGAAAAATAAAATGCTGTGTGTAAACAAAGGGTGAACGAGTAAAGACTGTTTCAGCCGGAAGGGCTCAGTTCAGCTCAGTTCAGTCGCTCAGTCATGTCTGACTCTTCGCGACCCCATGGACCACAGCACGCCAGGCCTCCCTGTCCATCACCAACTCCCGAGCCCGTTCAGACCCCTCTCCATGGGGTCCGGCTTGGCGGGCTGGTTCCCGCGGCGCACTCCCGAGAAAGGCCAGGAGGTGGCAGCGGTGGCCCTCTAGCAGACCTGGGACCTGATGGTCTGCAGCGACTCCAGGGCTGCTGTCTCACCAAACACAACTGGGCTGCAGGTGGGAAACAAAGCCTCAAAGTCCGCAAGTCTGCGGACTTTAGATCCTTCTCCTTTAGCTCTCTCTCCAGTCGCTAGAGCCCTCCTAGTGTGAGGGACTCTTCTCCCGGCAACTCAGCCCCAGTCTGCTTTCTCCTGCCTCCCCGGTGCCTGGAAGCAGGGGTGGAATTCAGATTTGCTCCTCTTTTTGTTGTATGTTCAATCTGTTTTACTAGGTTCTGCCTACCTCTGTGCTTCACTGCATTCTGTCAGTTAAGACGTAAATGATGCTCTGAGATGTTTATTGCTAACATCCACACGAGATGAACTTGCCCAGGTGTGTAACATCAGGGTGTGATAATGTGCTCCCGTTTAGAGAGAGGGCTCCAAGTCAGAATCCTGTGAAATGTGTTGTTTTGACCCTGCCAAGCATGTGTGGGCATGTGTGATCCTCCTTTTAACGCTTCCACTTAGAGAAGCTGACTTCTGTACTCTCTCGACAAGGATCAAAGGCTTGTTTCCTGTGCGTTTACAGTGTGACCCCGGGCCCAGCAGACCTTCTGCACGCCACGGGGAGGGGCTGGGAACCACAAACCTGTCTTCGCTTCACTCCTATCATGTATATGTCGCATTACAGTAGCAGCAGTCTAAAGTGAAATATGCAGTGTTTTCTTTTTATAAATGCCCCATGGGCATGGCGGTAACTATCTTTTCATATATTTTTGACCTTAACACTATAGCTTCCCCCTGGGAGCTGTCAAAATAATGTAAGTTTCCTCTTAATGATGTAAAGGACACATTACCCTCTTCCTGTCTGTATTTTCCTCCCTGTGGGCACCCCCTCACGGTCCCTCCCCCCATTCGTAGAGTGGTTAAAATTACTATTTTATAGAAATCCCTAACTGGAACGTTCTTTTCTTTCCTCCTACTAATTTGTACTCTCTTACTTTCTACTTTTATGACATAATTTTCTGAATGTTTGGTTCCCCTGAGGACTTCTGGAAAAAATTATATCGGGTTGCTAATAGAATGTGTTTTTTCTATTTCATGTAAAGAGATGACTTTGAGTGTTCGGCATTGACTTTGTCTCTGTGGCTATAAGTTTCTTTACTCAGGTTTTTTGTTAATTACTCTTAGGTTCACATGTTAATTTTCCCACATGTGAAATGAATAATGCTTCCATATATTTCACAAGTTTAAAAGATTACTGGGACACTCAAATATGGCGAGATCTATGAATGTATTTTGAAAGGGAGAAAGTCCGGCACAAGTGCGAGATGACAGTGCGGAATAGTGTGCTATTGGCATATTAATAACAGTCACATCTGAGTTCCTCTGCCCAATCCAAGATGGTTAAAGAGAATCCTTCATAGACAAACTATACATTCTGTTGTCCAAGTTCTTGAGTAAAACTGAAAACAAAACAGCATCCAAAGCAAACTGACTTGTTGGCTGTGGACTTGTCCTTTTCTGGGCGTGACCCTCGCCCGCCCAGTTCTCTGGGGGGGTCCTCCCTGCGGGGGCGTCCCACTGAGCCCCTCCCTTCTCGGGGCCCACATCAGTGCTCTGCTCCACTCATTCTGCCTTTGCTCTCTCTCAGGACGGGGTGGACTGGCGGGAAGAAGGCTGGATCACGTGTCAGGGGACACATCTACAACCACGGGCACTGTGTGAGGTCTCCACTCACGATTCCCGTGCCCACTGAGTGAGCGGTGGTGGACTGGATGACTTGCCTCAGGCGCTTTCTAGTTTCAAAATCAATTATGCTGGTTCTATAGTGAGCCCGGGTTAATATGCCAGTCCTCAGATCTTCCTGAAGTTATGAAAGACCTTACTCCTGGGGAATGGATACAACCATAGGACTAGTGTTATTATTTTTGGGTTTTTGAAGGCTGGTGAGGAGGCCCTTCTGTGGAGGCAGTTCTGTGGGCCTCAAGAGCAGGCCCAACGCACTGTCTGCACCACGCTGCCCTTACCCACCGCGCAGCGCTAGCTTGCTGTCTTCACCCCGCGTGCATAACCATCTTCCTAGTGAGTGCGCCGTCTGGAGAGTTCTTGAAAAGGGGAGTTGGGTCTGTCCTAAATCGCAGTTACAAATTATGAGAGAATGAAACAAATACCTCTGACTCAACTGTCCTATCACATACCTGTTTTGGAGTCCACGGAGAAATACGGCTGGCCCTGCAGGATGCTGTATACCACCCGGGCACTGTTGCCATAGGTCGGGTCATCAGCGTCGGTGGCTGTCACCTGGATAACAGAAGTCCCTGAGAAAGAGAGGTGGTGGACACCTGTTCAAGTTGAGTTGCTCAAGACTGGAGGCAAGCCTGAACAGGCAGTGTTAAAGCATTTGCAAATGTTATGTCTGCTTCCTTGAGAGGGCCTGTTTCTAGGTCAGGCTTCTATAACTGCTTAGTACACAAGTGCCTCTTTAGCGGGGATGGGAGTTATTGGTGTCTTAAATTCTTAATAACTTGTGAGGACAAACAGGCTTTGGGCTCTTCATTCCTCTTTTGGTAATACCAAAATGCTTCTCCCTTATGAATCAAATATCTGCCTACCTATCTACCATCTATATTTTGTTTTGCTTTTTAAGAACCAGAACTGGGGATTTCCCTGGTAGTTCAGTGGCTAAGACTCCATGCTTCCAATGCAGGGGACCCAGGTTCAGCCCCTGGTTGGGGAACTAGATCCCACATGATACAGCTAAAGATCTCACATGGTACACTAAAGATTGAAGATCCCAGATCCCATGTGCCACAACTAAGAGCTGGTTCAGTCAGATAAATATGTAAATAAAAATAGATGAAGGAAGACCCAGAGCTGAGTAACAGCACTAGGCTTTGTATCACTGCTGTTTGTACTGTGGCTGATCTCACGTCTGAGTAGCTCGGTGCAGTTGTGTGGACTATTCTGCACTTTCTCTCCTCCACGTTGAGGTGGGAGGGCCTTCTAGACGGGGACCGCTGTCTGTGAGGATCAGTGCATCCCTGCCTTACCCACTGGTGACATCTCTAGATCGGTGCTCCCCGCCTTACCCACTGGCAACATCTCCAGCATGGTGCATCCCCGCCTTACCCACTGGTGACATCTCCGGCACGGTGGCGACATAAGGCCCGTCCAGGAACTTGGGCTCGTTGTCATTGATATCTTGGATTTTGATGATGAACTCGGACTCCGGCTCCATTGGCCTGCCCGTGCGCCTGTCCAGGGCCTGAGCCCTGAGAGTGTACTGGGCCCTTTCCTCCCGGTCAAGCCTCTGAATGGCGTGGATGTCTCCAGTGGTGTCGTCGATGGTAAACACGACGCCTGCGCCTTCTCCCGAGAGGATGTATTTGATGGAGCCATCTCCCCGATCCATGTCTGAATGAAGCTGAGGGGAAAAGCACCGGCCTCTCAACAGGTGTCAAAAATAAACAGATTTTCAGGATGGCACAAGTGTATGATTTCCTTTCAAACAGGAAGACTTTTTCTTCCCACTCAAATATTTTAAATGTCTACAAAGAACTAATCGGCTTTGAACATGACGTATCAAAGAGCAAATATAAGTTGATGAATAAGCAAAATTTCTCCACGTCACATTCAGTATCCTTAACTTAGTACTGTTTTTAGTTCCTCTCCCTGAGAAGTACAGAAGATAGGAGTTCTGGAACGTGTGGGACCCATATTGTATTGTATTGTATCCCCTACTGTATTGCCCCATGTACAATAGGAGCAAGTCTAATAAGGAGGAATCCAATTTTTCCATTTAATCTTTTTTAAAGGATAAGTGTAAACATTTAAAAATTTCAAAGTGTTGATATAAATTATTTTGGAATTTCAAAAACTTTAGGACACTCCACATTGTCTGAGAAGCTGCTGAAGCAGCTAATGAACACTGTCTGTGGCCATTGAACCAGAAACACTAGATGACTTCTGGGGGGCCCTTGAAATTTAAATTCCATAGCTTCCCTCAGCAGGACTTTGCCTGCTTCTGTCTCAGGTAACAAAGTGGAGTCTTACAGCTGGTTATTATCCTCTGTGTCAGGGTATCTATCATTTTGATGGGACCCATTTCTGGCCTTGTAATTGACTCACTCAAATCTGTATGTAGAAGGTTGTGGTAGGCACATGCTTTTATCTGCCCATCCAACTATATTTCCTCCCAAATTACTCTGTGACGACTCTCAAAATGAGCCCGGGGCACAGTGCTCACTTTAAGCCTAGAAATAAACTCTTGCAGCTCTAATTATAGATAATGTATATAAGTGGCAAGAACCCTAGAGTTTTGTGCTATCTTATAACAGTCCTTCTGTAAGAGGGCAACGAAAAATTAATTACATGTAGTCAGTCACCACTAACTCTTGTTGCTGGGCTTGCACAGTTCAGTGATAAAGTCAGTGAGATTCGATTAATAAAATAGACCAGTTTAGGCCAGAGAGGCAAATATATCTGGCCTGAACACTATCTGTCTCATTTATAAATTGAATGCCCTTGACAAACTATTTAATGTTTATAACTCTCAAGTTCCTCTTATTATAAATGTAGAGAACAGTGTTAATTCTTACTTTGCAGGTTTGTTGGGATCATTAGAAGTTAGTGTATGTAAAGCACCTAGCTTTCCCATAATAGGAAAGCTATAAATGGGGCCAATTATGATGATGATGTGTGTGCAGAGAGAAGGGTATTAACATGCCCAGCTCTTCCGTACTCCCTTCGAACCTCCAGGAGTGCAGCAGAGACGACAAAAACAGCCTGCTGGCCTTTTCGTTATGCACAGCCCAATGGTAAAGCTGGGAAAGCTGCCTGAAGCATTGCTGGTTCAGCGTTAGTCTGAGGGTTAAATGGTACGGACACCAAGGAAACACCTGAAAGTGTATCAAGACTTTGAGCTGATCTCAAACTGACTCACGGCCAGATCTCACAAGCAGTGATTTTGCTGCCTAGAGGAATTCAGCTGTGTCTTATCCAGAGAAGGGCGATAAGAGAACAAAACTGGCCGAAAAAGTAGCCGTGGATTTTTTTCTACTTAAAGAATTCTATTTAGAATATAAAGTCCTCACATTTCCTTATTCCTTATACAGTATTATTATTATTTTTCACATTCTAAATCTTCTATTTATTTAGTTTAAAACAAGCAAGGTGCCTAGCTCTTATTGTGTAGAATAGAAAGTCATTTTATTTGGGTCTGGCCACAAAAAAATGAAAATCCATTCCATCTGGAACTGTGTTCCCAGGCAGAGGGATGGAATTGGGAGGAGGAGGACAAAAAAATTCTTATATATTTATGCATGTTTACATACATATGTAAATATAAATCTGTGTAATTTTAAGGCATATAGCATAGGACTTTCACTTAGAGTGAAGTAGGGCATGGCAGATTATCCAGGGGAGAAAGAAAGAATTGAAGCTGACATTAGAGAAAATACCCAGGGTTGTTTGGAGGTGTTCTAGCTGTCATCTAAAAAGTTTTGTCCTGTGAACCTTAAGAAGGCGAAGCATCATGTGATTATCATTGGCCAAGTTTAAGTGCTCTGCCTACGGAGAGTGCTCAGTAAGTGACAGGAGGCTAGAGATCTTTGCGGCTCAAGAGATGGTCCTGGCTCCTTGGGAGTCACTCGGCTGGCTGATGTCAATGGAGTCTGGGCTGAAACTGGATCTGTGATCTTTGGTTTTGTCTATATTGAGAGAAGAGAACTTTCTAGATTGTGAGTTCCTTGAAGTCAGGAAGCATGTGGTTTTCATCTGAGTGTGAGTCTTTATGTGCAGCAAATGCTCGGTAAGTTTGTATGAACGGGAGGTATAGGGTGCAGCGTTAGAGTTTAAGCTTTTAGTGAAAGCATGTTGTCTTTGCCTTAGAGGAGCTGGCAAGCATCTCTCAGGTAGCGTCTCTGTGTGTTTGTGCGCAGGAAAGCAGGGAGAGCATCCCGGGGAAGCAGGGGCGCCTCCCAGCAGCAGGAAGAGTTGTTCAGTCGCTCCGTCCTGTCCGACCCCTCTCGACCCCACGCACTGTAGCCCGCCAGGCTCCTCTGTCCATAGGATTCTCCAGGCAAGAGCACTGGAGTGGGTTGTCATTTCCTTCTCCTGGGATCTTCCCAAAACGGGGACTGAACCCACGTCTCCAATGGCAGGCGGATTCTTTTCCTCTGAGCTACCCGGGAAGCCCAAAGGGAAGAGTACCAGCTACGAGTGCCTGGATCTGCTTTCATGTAACTCATTTCTAGGGGAAATACATTTGACCCTTGATCTACGTGGATGTGAACTTTGAGGGTGCATGTATATGTGGGTTTTTGTTTTCAATTATAAATACTGCAAACAGACCTACGCATGCGTCTGTGGAGCAGAAGCATGGGTTCAGAGAACCGTGAGTACAGAGGAACCGTGGACATGGACAGAGGGCCAACTCTAGAGCTACGCCTGGATTTTCCCACCGTGCGGAGGGTTGGTCCCCTCTGTGGTCCAAGGGTCAACTGAAATTGTATCGGTTCTTTTCCCACCGTGTGGAGGGTTGGTCCCCTAACCCTCTAACCCCCCCGTGGTTCAAGGGTCAACTGAAATTGTATCAGTTCAGGATCTAGTCAGGGAACAAAACCCATACCAGTCATTTTAGCGGAGAGAATTTAATATGAAGGATTGAAAAGGAAAAATGTTCCTTTCCAGAGGTGTCACTGGCAATGGTAACCAGTAACTCGAGGAAACAGCTTGTGCCCCTCTGGCTGGGCGAGCAGAGGGCAGGAGTTGGGGGTGCTTGGAATCTAGATGTTTGGAGGAGGCTGGGCTGGAGCCCTCTGAGAAGGGGGAGTTATCCCCTTGGGCTGGGCTCTAGGCATTTAGAGGTGCCCAGTCCCCAGCGCCCACCCCTGGTGGAGCTGAGACTCAGACCTCTGAGAAGGGGGCACCCTCCAGTGGATGTGTGAGGCTGGGGTATGGAAATACTTCCAAAAACCAGAATCAGCTCCCACAGTTAAAAGGAGCAAGTCCCTCTTCTCCTGCCTTTCGTTCTCCCCCTAGAACATTCCACTGTCAGAACCCGGGAGCTGCTTGGAAACAGAAAAGCTGTGATGTGCAGAGTCCCAGCCCCGTGGAGTATGGGAAGGTGGATACGGAGCTGAGACACTAGCCTAGTAGCCAGCACAGTGATGTGAACTGAACATGAGGTTCTCCAGTCATAGGACGCACATTTGGTTGCAAAAATTGCAAAGAAGAGATATTAACAGCTTTTCTCTGTCACTCAGCAAGTTGGTACTGCAATAAAGATGTGCTTTACATGTATCCATGTTTAATTCAGCTCACACTGACAGCACCAGCTCTTCGGAGGAAGGTGCGGAGCTTCGGGAATGGAGTTGGTAGCACACAGTTACCCCCATCCTGGGAAAACAGCTTTGCTGTCCTAGACAGACTAAGACAGCTGGATACCCTGCTTAGCCTCACCTTGCTTTCGTCTATAAGATCTTGAGCCAGAGGAGTAGTGAGTGGCGGGAAGTACATGAAGCTCAACACGGGGGGCGATGGCGCTCCTTTCTGCCGTCTTTCACGGTGCCTCGTATGGTTCCAGGAAGGCGGTGAGTGCTCACAATTTGTGGTTAGACAGCTTCCGCGCACTTGTTAACCTCAGCACAACTCAGGACCCCGGATTCGTGCATAAGCACAAGCTCCCTGCATCCACCTCTTTGCATATGTCAACATAATCCCGGTTTGACTTGACACTGCCTTGTGCCTGGGAAGCCCAGTGTGGATTTTGTAAGGCCATACCAATTACAGCTGATAATTGTTGCCATACTCCTTTCTGAAGAAAGCAAACACTCAGGCAGCCTCTCTAAACAGACATCTTCCAGAGCTCATGGTGACGAGCTGAAATGATCCCTGGGAGAGAGGGATGGGTTCTCTTTCAGAAGAGAAGGGGAGCAGTGCCTGGGTGAGTGAGTACACAACTCTCTTCATGTGCAGGTGACAGACCCAATCCGGGGCGCAGACTTGCATTGAGAACTGGTTGGCCAGGACGACTGTGGAGGTGCGGGGATGGCCTGTGTCCCACGGTGGGTGGATTAGGACAGGGTGAGCCCCAATCACGGGCTTCCCAGGGGGCGCTAGTGGTAAAGAACCTGCCTGCCAATACAGCCAGACATGTGTTTGATCCCCATGTCGGGAAGATCCCCTGGAAGAGGGAGGGCATGGCCAGCCACTCCAGTATTCTCGCCTGGAGAATCCCATGGAGAGGGAAGGCTGGAGGGCTCCGGCCCACGGGGTCGCACTGATCATGAGCCCTGGAGCATGCTGCATGGCTGAGCGCTCCCACCTCCAGGGAACAGGCCTGGTTACATCTCTGGTCTCACTGACACCACGGATTCTTCTGTGTGTCTCTCAGGGCGAGGTCTAAAGTCATGGCCACATACA